AAGAGAAGGCTGCGACGGGACCTTATTGCAGCCTTTCAGTACTTAAGGGGGGCCTATAGGGAAGATGGGGAAAATCTTTTTAGCAAGGCCTGATTAGGAAAAAACAGATGATTAAGTGCAGTTCTATTTGCTTGGGAACCCAACAGTTTGCAAAGAACTTTGTACCATCTAAGAGAGCAGAGTATTAACGTGTTCAGGCATTGTGGGCTCACTCATATATATATGTATTCCTATTAATTGCACCAACATCTGTAGTCCTAATTCTTCACCAACATTTTTAAGAATATAAGAGCATTATGAGAATCTTCTGTTAATAGCACTTTTCAAGGAATGCTTTGGCCTTAAGTGTAAGAGCACACTATTCATAAAACACAGTTGCATTATGCTTTCTTTCATCTTCCTTTGAGTTAATAAATTCTAATTGATTAATCAATATTTGTGCTCTCTTATAAGAATTCCCTGGGTGCATGAGTGGCAAGATGCCCAGAAATTGCTCTTGCATATTTGCGAAGAATACGTATAATTTATTAACTTTTAGAAAAGGGTCAAGACCTATTTGAAATATTCTCTACAAGCATTAGCAGGGCAAAGCTCTCCAAAATAAAATTTCCCTGAAAAAGAATAGATGATCTAACACTGCTTGTGAATTTTTGTGAAAGAAAAGATTCAAACTTTAAGTGCAAGGGTGTGGCACAGCTTTGATGGTACCAGTCCCTTGAGCCACCCTGTTACTCTGATAATTGGTTCATGATTTTTTTTAACTGATGGCCTAGGGGCTAGAACAGCCAAACCAAATAGCCTGTTGTTAATCAGCCCTACCAAAGTTTCCTCCTAAAAGACAAAACCGAAAGAATAACTTCTCTGAATTGAATTGTGTAAAGGAAGTGTAGAAGGCTGCGTTGGCCACTAGATGAGCTGCTGCTGCTGCTGCTATTCCTCCCAGTGATACAACAGTTGTTAGGCTGAACAGAGACAAAGTCCAGTAATAGTGACTTGGGGCTTATCCTTAGTAATGGCCCAAGGCATCTGGTCATCATCTCTTT